TCCCCTTTTCCTTTTACTGTGCACACACAAAACTATTTTTTGCCTAACATCCCTTGCACTGTGATTACTTTTTTTTTTACACAACTGTACCCTGATTACACTCCCATCTTGTACAACCAGAGACAGTCAGGGGCAGTCAAGTTAAGTTCCAATAGAAACCCCAGACATTCCTTTAGTGATTTTGATCACATTACCCAATAGTCAAATAATTTTGATCAGATTATTCCTCCGCCTGCTGCCTGCTGCCGTCTCCTATAGACCATTTCTGTGGAAAAAGGGCCCATTTCCCCTCAGAATAACTGTAAAGGCTTCTGGGGACGGAAGCATAGTTGTGGTCGTAGCCACTCTTCCTGACCCCCTGGTATAATTTAATTATCAAGCTTCCATCCAATGTGACTGCACAGAGTTGCACATACAGTTACATTTATATAACGGGGTTTTATTATCAAACCAAAAACTTGCTTTTTGTAACACCACAACTGCTTTTACCATTTCCACAACTCCCAAATGTTTACTTTCCTCCAAACCCTGTATTATTAATTTTTTCAAAAGGTATTTGTAACTTTTTACTTACTTCTTTAAATCACTTACTCCTACATTTAGTTTTTAAGGTTGTGCACTTTGTCTCTAACAACTCAGCCACCAAGTACAATTATTGCCACACAGCTGCCTTAACCTGTGCTGTCTTTACCTTGAGACTGTTCAAAAGGCAGTAAAACATTTGTCTCCATGATTGCCCATGGATCTGTTACTCCAAAAATTCCAGCAGACTACAGCAGACCGCCATCATACTTTGTCCCAAACAAAACAAAACACAAAACATTTCACATAAGTATCCAAAGTACCCTCCATTAAAACTTCAGAAAAACAAAAATGTGGAAAGGCAGGAGGAGAGAAGGGGGAAGAGGTGGAAAGAAACCAATTAAGCCTGTCAGGTCAGTTTAAAGTACAGGCTACCAGCAGCAAATTAAGTAAACTGAGTAGGGTTACCATACGTCCAGATTTCCCTGGACATGTCCGGATTTTTGGTCCTCAAATCCCTGTCTGGGGGGAATTTCCAAAAAGCCGAACATGTCCGGGAAAATAGGGAGGCATAAGCCAGGGTCCGCCCAGCCCCAGCACGACCCGCCAGGTCCACAGCGCAGCCCAGCCGCCCCGGCTACATTGTCGCGAGCTCGGGCTGGGGGAGGGGGAGGGCGCAGCCGCAGAAGGCAGCGGAGGGGCCGCTGCTGCCCCCGCAGGCCGGGCGGACCGCACGCCCCAGCCAAGCCCGCAGGACCACGGGGAGGCCAGGCCCAGCCAGCCAGCGGCTTGGGCTTCCCTCCCGGGCGGGGACCCCCCCGGCCACTGGGGGACCCTTCCTGCGGCCCTGTCACCCCGTGTGGCTCGGAACCCGGCGCCGCGGGAGCTATTTCCAGCGGGGACAGACAGGCCGGGGAACGTGTTCGGCGGCGGCAGGAAGGAGGCTGCAGCGTGGGGCGGGGAGTGCGGCGTGTGCCGGGGCTGCAGGGACCCGCGCCGCCCCGGTCACTGCTGAGCGTCCAAAGCCCCGCCAGGCAGAGGCTGCTGGGGGAGCGGAAGAGGCAGGGGGGTGCAGAGGCTGCAGGGCAAGGAGAAGCAGGGCAGGCGGGGGGCATAGAGGCTGCAGGGTGAGGAGGAGCAAGGCAGGCGGGGAGCATAGAGGCTGCAGGGGCAGGTGGGCGCAGGGACAGGGCAGGTGGGGGGCACAGAGGCTGAAGGCGGGGGGGGGTGCAGGGGCTGCAGGGTGAGTGGGGAGCAAGGAAGCACTTAGCAACCCCCAACCAAGATCAGAGTGGGAGGGAGGAGGGGGAATGCGGGGTGTTCAAAGGAGGGG